ATGAAGAAACAGATAAAGTATCTACTGGACAGACAACTGATCCGCCCATCCACCTCTCCCTACGGCGCACCGGTTCTCTTCACTCCAAAACCAGAGGGTAGTCTACGGATGTGCATCGATTACCGGGCACTGAACAAACATACAGTCAAGAACAAATACCCCATATCGCGCATAGACGATCTTCTAGACCAACTGCGTGGTGCGACGGTGTTTTCGAAGCTGGACCTACGGTCGGGTTACTAGCAGATCAAGATGGCGGACAACTCGATCCACAAGATGGCGTTCCGTACGAGATACGGCTCCTACGAATACTTAGTGATGCTGTTCGGACTCTGCAATGCACCGGCGACGTTCCAGGCGGAGATGAATCACATCCTACGGCCCCTGCTGGACGAGTGCATGGTAGTGTACCTGGATGACAGACTAATCTACTCCTAAACCATGAAGGAGCACGTGGAGCATCTGCGGAAAGTCTTCGAGATCCTGCAGAATAATAAGTTCTACGAGAAGCTGTCGAAGAGCGACTTCGCCCTGAAGAAGATGCAGTTTCTCTGACACATGGTGAGTACCGAGGGCGTACACGTGGACCCGCGGAAGATCGAAGCCGTCAAGAAGTGGAAAGTACCGGAGAACGTGAAGGAGTTGCAACAGCTCCTAGGCTTCGCCAACTACTACAACAGGTTCGTGCCGCAGTACGCTAAGATAGCAGCGCCACTGACCAACCTACTGAAAAAGGATACACCCTATAAATGGGACACTCCTCAACAGCAAGCCATGGAGCAGCTACAGACAGCACTGACTACAGCGCCAGTACTCATCCTACCGGATCCAGACAGAGACTGCGTGATGGAAGCAGACGCTAGTGACCAAGCAGTCGGAGCAGTACTGATGCAGCATCACGGACGTAGTTTACAGCCCATCGTCTACCTCAGTAAGAAGTTGTTACAGTGAGAGAAGGACTTAGCTGTAAGAAAGGGATCGGGAAAGATTTGGGTACCAAAATATGCCCCGCTCCGACAGATCTTATAGGAGGAGTTCCACGATGTGGCATACGCGGGACATTTTGGGAGCAACAAGACGTTAGCGGGAATAGCGAAGTATTACTACTGGCCCCGGATGGCAGCAGACGTGCAGCAGTTTGTCACCTCATGCGACACGTGCCAGCAGATGAAGAGCACCAAGCAGAAAAAAGCAGGGTTACTTCAGCCTCTACCCGTACCGGAGCAGCCATGGCAAGTCGTTAGCCTCGACTTCATCACAGGACTTCCTTCGACCTCACGAGGGCATGACGTTATACTCGTGGTGATCGATAAGTTCTCTATAATGGGTCACTTGATCGCGAAAAAATGCCACGGTTACAGCTGAAGCAACTGCTCGCCTCTTCTTCGACCGCATCATCACCATCCACGGCATCCCTGCTACACTCATCTCAGACAGAGACCCAAAGTTCACTAGTAAGTTCTGGAGGGAACTCATGGGATTGTTGGGGACAAAGCTTGCAATGTCTTCAGCATACCACCCCCAGACTGACGGACAGACTGAGCGACTTAATCAGGTGGTTGAACAGTTACTACGCACAGCTTGCAAAGACGACATCAGCCACTGGGACATACAGTTACCGACCCTTGAGTTCACTTACAACCACGCTTCACACGCGGCCGCAGGGAAATCTCCTTTCTTTCTATGCTAAGGATGACAACCACTTACACCACAGCAGCCAACTACACCGGCACACGTCCAAGCCGCACATGACTTTGTCACCACCATGCAGCAGCTATGGGAGACGACTCGGCGACGCCTCACCACGATGCACACCTCCCAGAAGCAGTATGCCGATCGCCAGCGACGTGATCACACTGTAGCAGTCGGAGATCAGGTGCTTCTCGACACGCTCAACTTGAACATGTCTCACATACCATCAAGCTCTGGCCTCGCTTTTGTGGTCCTTTTCACGTTGAGGCACAGGTGACACCAGTAACATTCCGCTTGCGCTTACCTACTACGTGGAAGCTTTACAACGCTTTCCATGTTCAGCTGCTGAAGCCCTACAAGGACCCCAACCAGCAGTTTACAGGACGACAGCTACCGCCACCACCACCTGTTCTTGTACAGGACGAACCAGAGTACGAGGTGGAACGAGTTCTCGCTCATCGACGCAGACGCGGCAACACGCTCGAGTTCCTGATACGTTGGAAGGGATATGACCCGTCGGAGGACAGTTGGGTTGCAGAAGCTGATATGGGCAACGCACGCCGTGCTCTCAACGACTATCTTGTCAAGCAGGGTGTATCTCACGCCACCCAGCTTTGAGGGGGGGACGTGTGAGAGTACGACGGCTTTGCTATGATTTACTAGCTCGACTATGCTTTAATATGCATTATGTAGCTTAACTTTATTTTGTTTTGCTTGCTCTTGCTAGATTTCCTAGGTTCGTTGCTTTTACTATATTATTATAGTTATAGGCACCGAACTAGGTTGATTGCACCGAATTCTAGGCTTTTCGGTTGCCACCGAATTGCCTTCTATCGAGTTCGGGAAGGACCCGTTCGGGACGCTTCGCGACCCGCGGAACCTTCTAGTAACACCAAGGTTACTGCCTTTGTGTCGAGCCTATATATAGCCTCGCCTTGTACCCAGGTGCATTATTCAATAGAATCATCTTTCCTTAACCAGATCCTCACATTGACTACATTACGAAACTTATGTTTTACTATTCCTGTCCTCCGTCCGTCGGGGGTGAGCTTGCCCTTGGCTGTGACGTCCTTGAGGACAGGCAGTTTGAGCCGCCGCATCTCATCTCGCGCCCACGCTACTTTTCCCTGAGGGAGACCCGGATGCACTAGACATCCCAACCCCGCGCTCTTACGCAAACGCTATTACGGGCCCGTACTCCTCTCAGTGGCAGATAGCCATGGACGCAAAGATGGCTTCCTGGAAGTCTACAGGCATCTACTTCGACGCAGTACCCTCACCTGGGGCGAACATAAATGATGGCATGTGGATTTTCATGGTGAAGCGACCACCGGGTTCTCCGCCTGCCATCAAGTTACGTTCCTTCAGTCAGCGTGAGGGAGTCGACTTCTCCAAGACCTTCTCACCCACCCCGAAGATGACCACTCTCCGTGTGTTAGTGCACGTTGCAGCACAGCGTGACTACCAGCTGCACTCCTTCGACTTCTCGACATCCTTCTTGCAGGGCAGCCTTCACGAGGCTATCTGGCTGCGCCACTCTCCTGACTTCACTTGGCCGTTTCCAGTGGAGCCTCCGGCGGCCAGCGTACGGTCTGCGTCAGGCGCGCCGTGAGTGGCACGACACACTGAGGACTACACTTGCGGCTCTTGGTTTCGCTCCCTCGACTGCTGAGCCTTCGTTGTTTCTGCTAACAGACACTTCTCTGCCGCCATTCTATGTTCTTGTGTACGTTGACGACTTGGTCTTTGCGACTGCTGACACTGAGACACTGGCGTTAGTGAAGGCGGAGCTCCAGGAGAGACACACCTGCATTGACATGAGTAAGCGGCGGAGCTATCTTGGCTTGCAGATCAGCTGGGACAGAGCACGGCCCACCATCACCCTGACTCAGTCACACATGGTGCAACAGGTCCTTGCGTTTCGGCTTCCGGTGGTCCTCGCCACAGCCCGCTCCTCTGCCTACTGGCCACTCGCTCTCAGCTCCACCTTTGGACGAGTCCGTAGAGCCGAGTGGTCTGTATTCAGAGCTTGTGGGTTGCCTCATGTACTTGATGACATGCACACAACCTGACCTCGCGTACCCTCTCAGCCTCCTTGCTCACTGCGTTGCACCCGGTAGTCACCGGAAGGGGCACTGGGCAGCTGCATAGAGGGTACTATGTTACTTGTGCGGTACATCAGGTATGGGGCTTGTGCTTGGGGGTCAGGGTCCAGTTGCTCTCAACAGTCACTCAGACACTTCTTGGGCTGACAACGAGACGACTCACTAGTGGAGGTCCACTCGGGACTCGTTCTGTCTCGTGGAGGTCCACTCGCCCGTCTTCTGTACTTAGTTGCAGCTGTGAGGCCGGGATCTATGCTGGGGATATGGGTGCACAAGAGCTTCGCTGGCTGACCTACCTGTTGACCGACTTGGGTGAACGGTCTCGTTCTCCTCCAGTTTTGTATGTCGACAACAAGGCCATGATTGCCTTGTGTCAGGACCAGACACTAGAGCACATAACGAAGCACATTTCTCTTCTTTACTTCCTCACACGAGAGTTGCAGCAGTGTGGTCAGCTTCGCCTCTCGTACGTGGCCTCACAGGCCAACACTGCTGGTGTCTTCACCAAGGCCCTCGTGTCTGGTGATCATCAGCGTTTCTGCACTGCTCTTGAGCTTGTGCCCACTCTGCCTCAACTGCTAGTCTCTTGATCTTGCCTTGCCCTTGTTGTATACTGATATATATAAGTATACTTGCATGTTTATACTTTCTATGTTGTAGTCAGTGTCTTGCTCTCGATATTATGACCTCTGCATGTGAATTGGCCTTGTTGCACTTGCTTGTGCTCGGAATGCGTGGTGATCTTGAAATCCACCCCGAGCGTTGATTTGCTTCTTTTCTTGTCTGGTCTTGTGACCCTTGCTTGCTTTGGCTATCCCCCACTTCGCCTAGATATATGCTTATATTGTTCTAGTTTGTAATGGGTTTAGCCTTAGGGGGTACAACATTTCTCTCGACTTTCTACTTGTACCCCCCCCCCCCCCCCCCCCCTTGACCTAATTCCATCATCCTTAGTTTCAAACACCAACCTCCCGTTCGAGAGGTTCCCACCTAGTTAAGTAAGCTCTCTATGTTTTAGAGTATCATTTATTGTATTGTTAGTTCATTGTGTCAAACCTTCGTTATTAAGCGCAACTTTGTTGTCTACCATTTTCGGACCAAGCCCAGACCCACAATTTTGTCACTCCCATACCAGGCATCCCTGGACCATCAAAACCCTGTACCACGCCATTTCCTGAAAACGCAGCGCTTTTTCTACGGGGTATGGAGCCGGCGGGGTGGCAGCAGCGAGTGGCGCTGTGCGAGCGCGTGCCCAAGGTGGAGCTGCACGCGCACCTCAACGGCTCCATCCGCCACTCCACCATCAGGTCAACCCCTCCCCGCTTCTCGCCTTCCCCCCGCCCCTCTCGCCCTCCCCGCCCCTCTCGCCCTCCCTGCCCCACACCATCTCCATGCCACTCGCGCGCGCAGTCTCCCTGTCGCGCCCCCTGCCCGCCGCAGGGCATGCCGCCCCCCTCCCCGTAGAGCCCTTGGAGTCGCCCGCCAGCCCCCTTCGCCGGCCGGAATTCCCCTCCGCGCGGTGAAAGTTCGCAACTGATCGCGCTCACTTCGTCGCACAGCTGTCGAGTCGCCGTCGACTTGCGTCGCCATGCATGTCGCACCAGCGTGCTCTGAACCACATATTCCGTGCTCTCCATCTCTCTCTGTGCCATTCTCCCTGTGCGCGGGGCGTGCGGGCGCGTGGCGGCACGGGCGTGCGTGGTGTGCGGGGGTGGGCAGGGAGCTGGCGGAGAAGCGAGAGGCGGAGGCGCCGCTGCTGGCGGAGGACGCACGGCGCCTCACCAACACAGGTCGCCTCGCCTGCCTTGCCTCCCATCGCCCCCTGCTGCCAACTCGCACACATCCTACACCCTCGTGCTGCTTGCAAGTGCAGCGGGCCACGTGTTGGCAGCATGCTGATCTAGCGCCATGGCACCGCCATTCCCCCCACGGCCCGCGGTGTGTGAGCAGCGGAGCGCAGTCTAGCGGAGTGCTTCAAGCTGTTCGCCGTGATCCACAGCCTCACCACCGACCATGCCACCATCACCCGCATCACACGCGAGGTGCGCCCTGCTCGCTCCATGCCGCATGCTGTAAGTCGCACATGGCACATGGCACATGGCGCATGGCACACTGGCACACTGGCAGTTGAGACACAGTGGATTGTATCTGCCACTGCTTTGCTGCCCTGTCTCTTCCTCTCGATTCCTTCCATTGCTTCCATGCCATGCCTTCTCAAGGCATTAGCATGACTCAGTATCTCATGTCATCTCATGTCATCCCATGGCACCACATGGCACCGCACTGCACCGCATGGGGCATGGCATCAGGTGGTGGAGGACTTTGCAGGGGACAACGTGAGCTACCTGGAGCTGCGCACCACGCCCAAGGTGCTCCCCACCCCACGTGCTTCTGTGCCCTCCGTGCGCTGCATGGCCTAGAACCTGCCGCGCTCTAGCAACCAAGCTCGCCTCTCACAAGGCCACCACACGCATGCTTTCTCAGAAAGGGGCCGTATATGGAGAGGGAGCAGGTATGGAGTGGGGGTGTGTATGGAGAGAGGCGGGCATTGCAGGAAGCTTGGTGGTGCGGGCAATGAGGCAGTGCAATGTGCTTCGAGCAAGGCCAGCTTGGTCGGCCCCCAGGGCCAACATGCCGTGTGAAAGGGAGCTGGACAGACACAGGGCGGGCACCCACGGGGTTGGGCTCAAATCCGGGGTGCACATTCAGCTGGATGTCCGTCAAAGGTTGACCTTTGACCTCTCTGTTACGCAGTGATTTAGGAATATCGGGGGGGGGGGTATTCGCCTGGCCAGGTGAACATTTGAACTCTCAGGATTTGGCGGATGCGTACCGAACTCATCGAGTGTGCTTCCGCCAACTTGTTTCCCCCCTCCCCATATCTATTCCGCTCCCTCCGAAATTATGTTCCCCCCTTCCTCTCACAAACCCCCTTTCCCCCTTCCGCCACCCACCCCAGTTGCCCTCCCCTCGATCCTCAATCTCTTGATTCAAGTGTTATCAATTTCAACCCTGCCGAGTCTGATCTCTCACGGACGAAAAGCCCCACGCTCGCCCGTTCTCAACTTCTTATCAATCTCTCTACTCGTCAAACAATCTTCAATTCTCTCAAACATGCCGCCCATTATTTAGCATGGAGTCGCGTTGAATGTGCACCCTGCAATATTATCGTTCGTTCGGAAAGGCACTGAGTCAGCCAGCTAGATAGCGTCGAGGGAAAATCTGGCTCGTTCTGGGAGCGAGCATGGCTCTTCTCAGTCTATTGGACAGCGCAGCCTGAAGGCGTGCTGGTGAATTCTGTCATTTGCTTTGCAGTTTCTTGTTATTGCTGCACATCACCAACTAGGCTTGCCTCCTCGAATCTCCCTGTGCCCGCGCTGCCTCTCGCCACTGGCCCCACAACCCCCTGCACGCCCGTGCCCAGAGCAACCCAAGTGCAGGCATGACGAAGCAGTCGTACGTGCAGGCCGTGCTGGCAGGGCTGCACGCCGAGGCCGCGTGGCTCCATGCACGCACCGCACACCAAGGTACGCCCCTGTGCTGTGCCACCCTGCCCTGCACATCATGCCATGCCATGCACATCATGCCATGCCGTGCACATCATGCCATGCCATGCACATCATGCCATGCAGTGCACATCATGTCATGCAGTGCACATCATGTCATGCAGTGCACATCATGTCATGCAGTGCACATCATGTCATGCAGTGCACATCATGCCATGCAGTGCACATCATGCCATGCAGTGCACATCATGCCATGCAGTGCACATCATGCCATGCAGTGCACATCATGCCATGCAGTGCACATCATGCCATGCAGTGCACATCATGCCATGCAGTGCACATCATGCCATGCAGTGCACATCATGCCCGCTTGAATGGGGCCAGGGGCTGTCTCGCCAGAGCACAAGTTCCACTGCCATGCTTTGCACGCCCTTACATTCTGCTCACGAGGACTGCGCATAATGGCACTTGCTGGAGTGGTTGCCTCACCATGATTCAAGAGAAGTATGACTAACTAGGAAGCACGGACCTGAGAAGAGATGAAGCTCACTATGCTGGGATGGTGCAAGGAGAAGGCCGGTGAAGCTGGACCTATGATGGGCATCCAAGGGAAATGTAGGAAGCGAGCGGAAATGGAGAAGAAAGTGGTTGAAATGTGAAGATTGGGAATGTCAAGAAGGGAAGTTAGGTTTGGTCCAAGTGCGTGTTCAAATAAGTCCAAGCTCAAACTTGCAGTGCATTCGGTGCACAGCTGGAATCAGGATTTGCGACACGTACAGCTCAGTTCAAAACTGCCTGTGACATGAAGAGCGAAATCAGTTCCGGTCCATTTCCTTTCAGTTTTGAGGCCAGAGCCTTCAAGCCTTGCTACTAAGACAAAGGAAAGTAGTCTCCATAGTAGACAAAGGCTGCGCGCATACAAGAGCACTTTCTTACCACCATGCCCATGCACGCCCTACATTGCATTTCAGCTCCCTACTACATCATATCCCTCCCCATGCCCATGTCAATGCCCATGTGCACATCCATGTCCATGCCCTTGCCCACTGCCATACGCATCCTCCATGCTCATGCCCCCATGCCCACGCCTCTACGCCCATGCTCACCTCACGCCCGTGCTCATGCGTTGCTGACGGCCATGCGCCTGCACATATGTTGTGGCGTTGGAGGAGGCAGCCCCCCCCAGCAGTGCAGTGCCCATGGTGGTGCGCCTGGTGCTCTCCATCGACCGCCGAGAGACCACTCAGAGCGCCATGGACACTGTGAGTCACACCCACTCCACCCCCTGCTGCTGCACGCTATGCCATGCCATTCCATACCATGTCATGCCATGCAAAACCATGACATTCCATACCATGCCATACCATGCGCTTCCATGCCATGCCATGGCAGTGCACGAATATCTGTGCGCGTGTCACGTGCCCACCCCACCAGGTGCATGTGGCAGTGCAGCTGCGTGATCAAGGAGTGGTGGGCATCGACCTCTCTGGCAACCCCTCCATCGGCCAATGGTGACGCCGCTCACCCACCCCCTCACGCAATTATCTATTTTGGAGAACTACGTGTTGAAGGCTTGCTGAATCGCGTAGGCATGGAAGCACAGAGGTGATGAGCGTGTGGTGTGCGCCCTGGCAGGTCCACGTTCCTCCCCGCGCTGCACCTCGCTCGCTCCCACGGCCTTCCCATCACCGTCCACTTCGCAGAGGTGCTTCTCACTCCCTCCTCTCTCATGCTATTGTATACCACAACCCATGCAAGGAGCTAACCCCGCCCCCCTGTCAGCCTTGTTTCTCTCGTTCTCTCCTTGTCGTTCTTGCTCCCGCAGGTCACTGCCCTGCCTCTCTCAACATGAACTCGCACAATCCACCAAACCATTTTGTGCCCTCATGCCCTCCCCCTCCTCCTCCTCCTCCTCCTCCTCCTCCTCCTCCTCCTCCTCCTCCTCCTCCTCCTCCTCCTCCTCCTCCTCCTCCTCCTCCTCCTCCTCCTCATCCTCCTCCTCCTCCTCCTCCTCCTCTTCCTCCTCCTCCTTATCCCGCGTCCCCTCCTCTTTCCCCTGGTCCCCCGCCTCACGGGGCACCCAGCAGGTGCCCAACGAGGTGGAGTCAGAGGCAGTGCTGGACTTCGCACCGGAGCGACTAGGCCATGCGTGCTGCCTGCCGGACCACCTCCAACAAGCCCTGCTGCGCTCTCGCATCCCGGTACCCCTTGCCCTTCCCCTCCCCCTCATCGTATTTGCTCTGCTTCCTCTCATTTCTCCATCTGTTGTTCGCTCGAAAGTAAGGCATGTTGCAGTGTTGGAAAATCGTCACGCACTCTCTTGTGCAGGTCTGAGGCAGGTCGCTGCACATTGGTGCCGTCATTGTGGTGGCAGGTGGAGCTATGCCTCACGTCCAACGTGCGCACGGAGAGTGTCACGGCGTATGGCAACCACCACTTTGGTCTGTGCTGCCATGCCTCTTCACTGTGCCAGCTGCTACTCTAGACGTGCCTCCGCCGTAATTGCTCTGCTCTTCTCCTTTCCAATTCCTCTGTTCTTTCCTCGTGTGAAACCATGCAAAACCACTCTGCGTTTCGTTTGAGTTCATTATTTGGTGTGCATCCCCGCACCCATCTCATTCGCCATCCGTCTTTGCTGTGCCACGGGTGCCCTTCAGACTACCTATACCGCGCATCTCACCCCGTTGTCATTTGCACTGACGATTCGGGTGTCTTCAACACCACACTCTCACGAGAATATGCACTCGCAGCAGCTGCATTCAGTAAGCTTAATCACCTTCTACCCTCTACTTCCTCTTGTCTCGCTGTATCCCTCCCTTCCCCAGTTATCTCACTCTCCCATAGTTGGCTCTTGACTTGTTACAACGTCCAACAGCGCACCGCAACGTGCCATCCTGTTGCTGTGTCATCATCGTGTCCAACCACACTGCCCTTCCACTAGCCTGCCACTCTCAACTCTATCTCCCTTGCTTTGACGTCTCATCCATCTCCCCATAGATTGCATTGTTGCTAGCCTCGTTTGTTTTGTTCGTTATCTTCATTGCCAAAGAGGGTACGGGGGCTGATCTCCTTCCTCCCACCCGTCCCTGCAGACCTATCTGACGACCACATCATCGAGCTTGCACGTAAATCAATCGACTTCGCATTCCTGCCCAGTCAAACAAAAGTGCTTCTGCGCGACAGTTTTCAACAAAAGATGACCCTTCCTGTCACATGATCGTACTTCTCAAGTACATAATGCTGTAACCACCCAATAGTTAGTGGTATGCTGCACTGCACACACGCATGAACGATTGTCAGTGCCACCAATGTGTGCATCGTTCCAAATATTAGTCATGAGGTATTCATTATAATCTAGCAACGCCTTCTATGGTTGACTTGTGCTGGGAAACACCAATAACTGTTTTCGTGGAATGTATCTGTCTGGCTGATAGGTTGAACAGGAACAAGAGCTAGATCTCGAGTGAGAAAGCTGTCGGATCTGTGGAAAATGAAAGACGTACGTGTCAAACTATATATGTGTTAGTTTTGTGTAGGCTATAGTGGGGTAGCCCGTATGGGGTACAACCAGGGCTCATTTTTGGTTTTGACCAACCCTTACGATCAGTCTGCCACCTGTTCAAAAACCTGATTTTCAGGGTTGCCCGTTGTGGAAAACCTGATGCGTCAGGGTTTTTGCATGTATTGAAACGACTACCCTGAGTCATCAGTGTACCAATTCGCAAAACCCTGTTTCAGTTGTTAAAATAGGCTGTCATAAGTCCTGCCGAGATCAACATTTTCGACAGTTGGCGAAGGGAAAATCCAGGTTTCAGGGTCGGGTGGTTACGGGACGGGAGAGGGGGGGGGGGGGGGTGGGGGGGGGGGAGGTGGGGGTTCGCTGGTGGTATGCGCTTCAGGGTAAACCTCGATAAGCGGAACGGCAACCCTGAGGCGACAGTGTTCCTGAAAAAAACCTAGCACATCAGGGTAAATCAAGGTCCTGAAAAAATTACCCAACAGCATCAGTGTTACTACCAAAAATCACCCTTCTAGTCAGGGCATCAGGGTGATTTACACTGATAACGTGGGCCATGGGTACAACCTGAAGTTAGGGATAGTACACATTTCATCCAATGCAATCATTCCTGCTTGCTATCTTGAGATGGTTTCAGAGCAATAGGTCCGTATGACCGTTTTTTTTTTTCCGGGCCCACCATGCTTAGCTTCCGACTGCGGTTACCGCGTTACCCCACTACCTTGCGTCGCGCTGCCCTGCGCATGCCCTGCCTTGCCCCGCGTCGCGCTGCCTCGCGCACGCCCAACCCTGCGCCAGCGCCCTGCCCCGCGCCAGCGCCAGCGCCAGCGCCCTGCCCTGCGCCAGCGCCCTGCCCTGCGCCTGCGCCCTGCCCTACGCCCGCGCTGCTGCCCTGCGCGTCGCGCCCTACGGCAGCCCGCGCGTCACACGCTGCTGCCCCGCGCGTCGCGCCCTACGGCAGCCCACGAGTCGCGCGCTGCTGCCTCGCGCATCGCGCTCTGCTGCAGCCCGCGCGTCGCGCCCTAAGGCAGCCCGTCGCGTCGCGCTCTGCTGCCCCTCGCGTCACGCACTGCTGCTGCCTGCGCCAGCGCCCTGCCCTGCGCCAGCGCCCTGCCCTGCGCGCGCTAGCGCCCTGCCCTGCGCCAGCGCACTGCCCTGCGCCCGCCCTAAACCCTAAATAAAATTAAAAGAAGAATAATAATAATTAAATTAAAAAAGGGCCCTAGGTGCTTTTGCCCTAGGAGCTACTGCCTACTGCTTCCTGCTACTGCCCTGCTGTGGCTGCACGCCGCCCTGCTCTGGCCGCGCGCCGCCCTGCTGCTCTTACTGCTGCTGCTGCTAATCGTGCTACTGCCTTCACTCCATATTGCCCTAGAGGTCGCGCTCCTCCTAGCTTGCCCGCCATGACTTCACTTTGTCGTACCGGTGGGAGTGGTGACGGCGGTGGTGGCAGCAGTGGGAATGGTGGCGGCCGTAGTAGCAGTCACTGTGACGCTGTTTGGTGCGGAGTGTCTGGCAAAGGCCAGATGCAGCTACGGCGGCGTCCGACCCTTACGCCCCGGCAGCTTCGTGAATGGCTTTACCAGCGTGGGCCGTCTCCGAGTCCGGGTCGCTGCCCGTACGTCATTCGCACAGGTCGTCGAGCTGGTGAGACCTGTGGGACACCTGGTCACGCACAGTCCCGCTGCTTCGCCTATTTGACTGACGCCTGGCGCACAGAGTTTGGCGACGAGGCTGAGTTCCCCCATTGGCTTGAGCTGCTTAGGTCGGGCGTTGCTGTCTTTGCTTTAGACTATGACGCCATTCTTACTGCCATGTCTGCTTTGCCTGGTGGTGCTGAGAGTGACTGTCACCTGTGTGTGCAGTACGGCCCCGGTATAGAGGTTGCTGCTCTAGGTGCTAGTGAGGCTGCTGCCTTAGGTGCTAGTGAGTCTGTTTCCTCAGGTACTGCGCCTGCTGAGGCCTTGCACACCTTCACGCTTGACTCAGGTGCTTCCCGCTGCTTCTTCCGTGACAGTACTGCACTCACACCACTCCCTGCACCTGTTGCAGTCTCTCTGGCTTACCGCTCAGGGGGCCCAGTTCTTGCACGGTCCACCACTGTGCTTCCGTGCTCGGCGAAACCGTCTGGCTCATTGACAGGCTTCCACTTCCCCTCGTTCTCCACGAACTTGGTGAGCAACGCAGTTCTCCAGGACCAATGGGTTGACACCTTTACTCTTGGAGGACAGCGTGTGGCGAATTGTACGTGCTTCCGGACCGGCCGCCACCTGGCCACGTTTACCCGTCGGCCAGGGTCGAGTCTTTACACACTGACAATTGCGCCCCCTCAGATAGCTGCTACTGGTCAGGTTTCTGCGTCAGGTCAGGTAGCCTCCCCTTGTGAGTGTCGCTCCCTGCCGCACCTGACTCTTCTCTAGCACCACTGCCTGGGCCACCCCTCCCTACCACGTCTACGTGGCATGCACCGTCGCCTCCTTGTCTCTGGTCTTCCCAGGTCTCTCCCTCCCCTTCCTGCCTCGCCTGCGCCGCCCTGCCTTCCTTGCGCCGAGGGGCGGCGCGCCGCTCCTCACTCCTCCTCGTTTCCCCCGACCTGGACGTGTAGGGCCCAGCCCGCGTTCGTGGACAGGGTGGTGAGCGGTACTTTCTGCTGGTTGTCGACGACTACTCGCGGTACACCACGGTCTTCCCCTTGCGCACCAAGGGTAAGGTCCCTGCTGTCCTGATCCCTTGGATCCGAGCAGTTCGTCTCCGGCTCCGCCGCAGGTTCCGCCAGGACCTTCCTGTCCTGCGTCAGCACTCTGACAGAGGTGGTGAGTTCACCTCCGACATCTTGCGGGCCTTCTGTCAGGGGGAGGGCATCGAGCAGTCGTTCACGCTTCCGGGCTCACCACAGCAAAATGGGGTTGCTGAGCGCCGCGTTGGCTTAGTCATGGAGGTCGCTCGTACCTCCTTGATTCATGCAGTGGCTCCCCATTTTCTGTGGCCGTTTGCGGTCCAGTACGCCGCGCAGCAGCCCAACCTCTGGCCCCGTGTGTCCTTGCCGGAGACCTCGCCCACACTGCGTTGGATGGGGGGGGGGGTTGGCGAGGCGTCGCGTTTCCGGGCCTGGGGTGATCGTTCCCTTGTCCGCGATACGTCCCGGACAAGCTCTCCTCCCGCACCATTCCCTGTGTCTTCTTTGGCTTTGTCCCTGATGCGCTTGGCTGGCAGTTTGTGACGCAATCAATAAAGGCAGCAATAGAATAAGTAGGATAAGGAACCTTGATATAATTGAGTGACAGAGGAATATAGATAGGTCACAGTAGCGAGGATAAAGATAGCTAGGCGGGAACAATCCGAAAGGACAACCGAGAGGAGCGGGAACCCTGAGCCAGAAGCAACGGTTGACACAATACTTAGCAGAGCAGAGAGCCCATTACGGACTGCTTGCTTGTATGTTTTCCCATTAGTCAAGAACTTCTCTGAAACTCTAGCTAGGGAAGCCAGTTCAAGCAGCAGTTAGCCGAGCTAATTGACCCAGGCCACGAGACATTGTCAAATCTGTTAACATACAAGCAAGGAAAGATATGAACGGCAATGTTCAGCTAAGGTCCGGCTTTAGCTATCACCGGCGAAGGATGGAAAGTACGCAGGCGACGTCGGGTTGGCGCGCACATGACAGTAGCCTTCGGTCGGAAGGGAGAAGCGCGCCGACGTCGCGACGCAGCGAATCCCCAGCCTACCGAACTCCGCATCAGCGGGAGCGCATGGAGAATAGGCGCGAGCGCGAGACGAAGCCTCTCCCAGCCTCAGACCCGGGGACCGTGCCACTGGACGCCAAGTGGGTGAAGGAAGCGCAAGGGCGCTGGAGGGCGGGCGCGGCCGGCGAACCGCTGAGCGCGATGCCAGGAATGAACGAGCACGCTGCCGCAGCAGCGCCACCATGGCGCCACAAAGGTCCAGAGGCGCAACCCGGCACCCACGTGCATCGAGAGCTGGTGCCGAGCCAGGCAGCCGCAGGACTACTAGAAGCGGAAGAGGAGAGCTTCCCACCGGGGCGCCGCTGGAGGAGCAGTTCCCTGCCGAAAGTCGAAGTGGCCGAGAGGTACACAGGAATCCCAGGAGTCGGACCGACGCTGAAGAACTATGTTATGCAACTAGAGACGGCGCAGTTTTGCTGGGAGCGCGACGGGTTCGACCCGCAGGAATTCTTCCGTAAGATGGTGGCGACCTTAGCCGGGGAAGCGGAGACTTTCTACAGGATGGTGAGGGGCGAGGTACTCGAGGAGCTGGCGGAGGGGATGATCCAGAACCCTACGGAGCGCTTCGTGCAGTTGCTGAAACGAGAGTTCGTCGGTCAAACCAGAGCACGGATGGAGGAGTTGCGCGACTTCCGCCGACGAAAGGAGGAGTCACTCCTGTCATATTACAACCGTCTACTAGAGCTAGCGGAGGACCTAGAGAAGAACGACGAGCGTCTACTGGTGCAGAAGTTCGTCAAGGGGTTGGACGACGAGCTACAACCCGTAGTACGCACGGCAGTATACAGGATCGGAGCCGATGTGGCCCTGAAAGAAGTGTACGGGCTAGCGAAACGCATCGAACACGCGCAGCGGCTGCTGGAGCTAGACGACGGACCGTCGCGAACGAAGGAACGGACCAGCTGGGCAGCCGCCGCCGTACCGGAAGGAGAGAAGAACGTCCGAGACCGTGCCGAC